TTAGAGTTGAACCCTTTGTGTCTCTCTGGCAAGATGTTCTGCTCCTGAATCAGCTGGGTGGGTCTTGCCTCTAGCCTCTCTGCAGGGAGTTCTGCTGAAGAGCTCCTTGCTGGGCCTGCACTCTGGGTCAAATGAAGATCCGCAGGCCCTAGGTAGTCTCACTCACTCTCCGGGCCTGCGCTCTGGGTCTATTCAGGATCCCGCGGCCCTGGGCAGTCTCAATCCCCAGAAAGTTCTTAGACAACCAAGTAACACAATTGTGCTTACTCTTCTGCACTTGCTTTTGTGGCATTTAATTCTGTTTATAAAATACCAGTAGCCTACCTACTTAAACAATGTGGAATTAGGTGTATTATTTAGTAAGAGAACCTTTGCTTGATTCCACCTGCCCACTCTAAGCATTTCAACACCTATGACTGAAAAAGAAAAGTGAACATAATTTTCTGGAAGAAAATGTGCTGCCTAGGTCCCTGTCACTTATCCAAAAAGAAAGATAAGTTATGTTTAAGGTTCCTTGGGGTATGCAACAATCAGGCTTGTTACAGTCTGAATTTTGTTCCCAGGATCTGGTGGGCTTCCCTCTGCACACAAACTGCCTGTGAAATATGAAACTAATATTTCCCTCACTTACCTTTTATTAATTTTTTGGTGTGATATGTCAGATTCTGGTTTACTGTATATTGCAGCTTCTTAGTATGTATTTTTATGTACTTTTTTCTATTGTTCTTCATTATACTAATCCTGATCTTATAGAATACACTGTAAGTACTAGGCAAAAAATAGTTACCCTTTTTCCCAATCTTAACGTTTCTTGAATTCTAAATTTCCAGTCTCCTGATTTCTGAAAGATCTTTGAATGCATTTGATTCATCTAATTAATTTTATTTTAGAACATAGAATTGTCAAGATTTTCAGGATTTGAATTCCTCAGGTCATCTTGACTTCATATTTCTTCTGGTCCTAAATCTTTGTCAGTGAAGAAAAAATGGCAATAAAAATTAAATTAAGAAACAGGTCTTTTGTTACTGGAAGGTTTAAAAAGGATTAAAAGGTTTTTATTGGAATCTCTCTCTATTCATTAGCTGCATTGGGGGAGACACTAGAAAAATCAATGTTTGACTTTTACTTTAACCTTAAAATGTCATTAAATTCCGCCCATGAAAAGGTTGATGCAAACACCCTTTTTACTTAATTGACAACACTTCCACTCTCTGTAGCATTTTGTAAAAGAAAGGAAGCCTGTGTGAAAGGTGTAAGAAAGGTCAAAATACAACTTGAAATATTTATTGTTTAGATGGGAGGTCTTTATGAGTGCAGACAGATTTAATAATTAATTTTTCCACTTTCTGTTTGAAACTCACCATTATTTTTACAGACACTGGAATGAGTACATTTTAGATTCACCTGCATAATTCATATTTGGCCATTAATATGCTGTCCTGCCATTGACAGTTACCCAGTAACATTTCACCTGTTCTCATCGTGCTGCTAATCAGAAAGATGCAAGTTTGTGTGCTAAATATGTTTCCTCTCCCAATCATTCATTATAGTTATACTAAGGCAGACAACTAAATAATGCAGAAGAGAAAGCTGGCTTGTGGACAGAGCGGTGACTAAAATTAGTAGCATTGTCATGCTTAGTAAAGAATACAATTTAATCCTTATAGCTGTGAAAAATAAATCCAGCTTCTAAGATGTCTACTAAGAAAGCACCCAGTTCTCGGCCTCATACTGACGACACGTGACTGTGGGGAAGCTAAGAGCCATTAGGGTCAAGGCTTGGCTTCCTGTCACCAGTGCCTCAGGCAATTCCTAGGTTTTGATAGGGGCATTTTAAAAAATCTAACTCAGACAAGGTTTGCTGGCAATGTATTGCAAGGACACATTTATATTCTAAAAATACATTTCTCTATTTTTGTTAGAATGTCAGAAGATAGACTATGATACAGAGCTACTTTTAGACATGCTGAAAGCTAAATTTTGCCATTTACCAAATCTACAAATATCCTGTGGAACTGTCATTGGCATTTGTAGCAGCCGTTTCCTGCTTGCCAAATGTGTGCACGTGTAGGACGTTTTATGCCATATAAGAATGCACGGGTGAGAAAAGACAGATTTCTCCAAAGTCTGTGATGTTCTCTGTGAATCAGGAATGCTGGAAATAAGAGACGAGGGGAAGCTATGAGGTTTGCAGCGAGGCATTTCTGCTGTCAAAAGCCAGCTCTACAGCTCGCTGCAGCCTTGCCAAGTTATTCAGTCTTTCTGAACAGATTTTCTCATCTGCAGAAGGTATAAATGTGCCCCCTGGGAAACTATAAGGACCACAAGAATTAATGTTATGAGTGTGCATTATAAAGTATAATATATAAAAAAATTAAGTATAATATGCCAAACAAAACCCCAACCATTAAAAAGTGGATATTCAATGATTGGTGAGTTTTGTGCCTTTTCTAACAGTCACAGTAATATAGCAAAGTTGGTTACATTAAAACTTTATGTCATTGGACAAACTGATGCACAATAAATTTTAATAATACTGCAGGGGGAAAAGAGCCCTACAAACACTGACATGGAGAAATTAAAAACAGTCTAAGGCTGGGGAGACAGCTCGTTAGAAAAAGCGCTTCCCTAGCAAGCGCAAGGGCCTGAGATCAATCCCCAGTTGGGCAAAAAAAAAATAAAAAATAAAAACAGTCTGTCTGGAGAGAACCTCAAATCTGAGGAAGGATAACTAAAAAGTAGGGAAGCAAACTGCTCATATTTTAAATTTGCCTGTTACAAAAGCAATGGTATCTAAAGCAAAAACATAGAATAAGGACTTATTTTTTGATAGTTCACAGTAAAAATCATCCCTCTGTAGCATACTTTCATAGAAAATACAGGCTATGGTGAGTTTTTGCATTGTGGAGAATTGGGAAAGGTGGTTGTGGAATCTCAAAGACAGAATTTGTCAGGCTGAGTCCTGGCTACCACCTTAGGGGAGGACTTGTAGTGGAAGAGTCTGCTGCAGCTGAGACCTAGTGCCTGGATGGAGACATGGGCAGATGGCCTACTTGCCTTCTATTATGCTGTTAGGTGGCACGTGGACCCACAAAGCCACCCCATAGTTCAATTGTAAGCTTCCTTTTTCCTCTGAAAACATGTAGTGGAAGTGGGTTAATAATCTGTGTATCCCACAAGTTCAGGGCCTTCTTTCACCCAGATCACTGATGAGGAACAGAATTGCTAGGGGCAACTCAATGTCTGGCTATGTCAGAGAAATTTGAAATACCACCTCTGATCCCAGTGAATTGGAGTAAAATTCCTTAAACACACTAGAGATTTAGAATACTAATTGTGGTTGGAAATTCTAAGAAAAAAACGTATTGACAGGAATTGCCATGGGACTTGAACAAAAGGGAAGAGATAATCTTGCATAATCCTATAATTTGAAACATGGAAATCGATTAAATATGTAAAGATTAGTAATTATCACATGTCTTTCACTCTCGAATGCCAGACATCTGCTTTTCTAGCCCGACTATTCCAGGTTTAGACAATGTGGCAGTTGTAGTTAAACTGGAATTTGTTTTTACTTACTTTATTGTGTTTCTATTAAAAGATTAAATCACTTCATTTACTTTTCACATTAGGAAACCAGAAAACAAGTAAGACAGAAGAAGTTTTCCATATTCCATTGCTAAGTGAGTGATAACTACTGTTAATTTAAACTAAAAAAATGGCTTAAGAGATGAATCAGCCAATTTTTTATTTTTTAGAGAATGCAAAATAGTGACAGAAACAAATGGCATTAGAAATGATGCAAAATTTCACTATACAAAGTGAAACCATTCAATAATGGTTGCTGCATTACATCAATCAGCTAATTTAAGTGAACACTTTAAAAAAGAAAAATAAACCAGGTATGGGGGCACAAGCCTGTAATCCCAGCTCCTTGTGAGGCCAAGACAGGAGTGTGGTAAGTTTCAGCCTAGACTGTGTAATTCGGGGAGATTCTGTCTCTGAGTAAAACCAAAGAGAGTGGAACATAGCTCAGAGGTGAGGATCACACCCAGCATGAGGGAGGCCCTTGGTTCTGTGCACAGTGCCTCAAAAAGAAGCACAAGAAATAAGAGGAAAGGCAGGTGGAAGCACAGGGAATCTGTGCAGTCATGGGGGAAGTGTGGACACTCCTGTCTGTGTGAAGCTATAGAACTTAACTTTCTGAGTTGGATGATGGTACTGTACTCATAGTCTATAGCTAGAGTCCATCCTCGGCTTAGAAGGACATATTGAATTTTATAGATGAACTGATAAGGTGTTTGGATTTTGCTTCAGAATAATCCAATAAGGGCCGGCAAGATAGCTCAGCCAATGTAGCACCTGCTTAGGCAAGTGCAGGGATCGGAGTTTGAACCCCAACACCACAAGCTGCACTGGCCCGGCCCCCTGGGTGCACTGAGCTGACCACCAAGACTGGGCATGCAGTGCATGCCTGTAATCGCAGTGCTGGAGAGGCTGAGGCTGAAAACAGGAGGATCACTATGTGTCTGAGTTGTGTAGTGAGACCCTGAACAAAATACATTAAAAATAATAATGGCAGATTACAGTGAAAAAAGTAAAGAAGATGTAGTATTAGACATGAATTCTTGATTATGAAACTCAAGTAGCATACCCAATATCACACTGCTTGTCCAAAAGTGTTCTAAATGTTTCCACTACTGTGAGGTGCATCCACTTCAGGAAACCAAGTGGACCTGGCTTGCAGCCAATCACCTCATTTTTTCATGCTTTATGGGAATTCGATCCATTCATTGGTACTCCCAAGCCAGGCACCATAGTCACCAAGGAAGCGAGTGCCAAGTGAGAGACCTTAGATGCATTATGGGAAATAACAGATCAAGGACAAAAAATAACTTTGCCAACTCTTCATGGGAGTGGAAAATACAAATTAGCACAGGATGGGGAGTGGCCACATCGCCATAAGATTTGAGTTCAGGATTTAAAGCAGTGACCCACAAGGACTTGAACATATGTTTATAAAGGTTGATAGTTTCAGGGCCCTGATAGGTTTCAATCTCGTGTTTTCCAGTTGGTGATTTGTAGGGCTGAGGGGTCAAGGCTAGAGCCGCATCTCTTATTTTCCAGGACCTCCTCTTTCTCTATTCAGCAATTTATAGTCAGAGTCCTCAGCACTATTTGGCCTTGTCCGATGTTAGCAACTCATAAATTTCATGATATGCTAAAAATAATTAAATTTATTGACAATAGTGCTCCTATTTTATTAAATATGGAGATAATGTTGTGGAAGAAAGTTTTATCCATAGGTATCGCCATTGCGTCAACCCGTAAAGAAGCAGCATCACTAAGTTGCAAAAGTAATCTTGATTTCTTTCCACGTAATGGAATCTTTTAGTGAAAATATATGAATTCTCATGAATATTGCATTTTTTTAAAAAACCAATATACTGTAAAGCGAATTAAAAGATGAACTGTTTATCTTATATAAATATACTTTTTAAAGTTACCATTTGCAAAAGGCAAATGGTAAAAGATCTTATGACACACACCATGTTAATTGTAATTATAAGTTAGCAGATAATTTCTATTCAAAAAGGATGCCATCCATGACCCTAAGTTAAGTGAAATGAGAACATACAGAAAGGGAACAAAGAGAACTGGGGTTTGTAATGGTTAGACTGCATTTTCCTACGTAGAAATGTAGGAAATATTCTGAACATCACACTCATTTAGCATTAAAGGAAGACCCTTCTTAAAAGTGAAGACTGTTGCTTAGCTCTCCGTGCGTTGCAAGGAGGCCGGTTATCCTTGCGCTTGTCTCTACTGGCTTCACTAAAATTTCAGACCCTTGCTGCAGCAGGAAAGGCAAAAGAAGGCCCGTCCCAACCCCGGATCTCACAGAACATCTCAGTACTAGTGCTCTGGAGCACAGTGCTCCAGGCGCTGTGGTGCACACCTGGCCATTCCAGAAACTAGGGGAAGGGACCCAGAGAAATGAAATCGTCATCTGTGATAGGGTCAGAACAAACCTCAGACCCTCTATCTCACACCCTTCCCAGGGCCTCTGGTTGAAGGAAGCTGCCACTTACTCTTATTTTAGTGATAATGATTTGGGTTCAGATTCTCAACAAGTTTATAATTATCAAAGCACCATACACATCTGACATAGTTGATGGCTCGAATTTGAGATTTAGAGAATTTCATGGCCAAGGGACACCACACGGTGTTATGTGATGGCATTGGGCAAAGCTCCAGAGTTATATCCCCC